AAATTTCTTATTTTATTTATTTTTTAATTAAGCCTTAGAAAAATGTATTGAAATAAGTAAAATACCTATATTTATACAAAAATATTTGTTGTGAATAATATAATATTAATATAATATTAATATATAATATATAGTATAATATTATATGTAATAATCACTACATATATAGTATAAAATATTATGTATAATAAATATATAGAATTAATATGGCGCTTATTTTAAATTTAAAATAATAGCATTATATGCATGTGAAAATACACGTATAAACATATATATAATTGAATATTTATTACTATATTTATTTATTTTTATATATACTTCTTTTCACTACATAAAAATATTTTCATTTATTAAATATATACAAATTAATATAATTAAAATTAATAATATTTAATAAAAACATGCCTTCTAAATTATAAATTGCATTTATTAATTATTATATATTACTTAAATAATCAAACAGATTGTAATAAACAATATTAAATATCTGCTAAGGAAAACAGATGGTAATTATAAATAACAAAACAGCAGTTTTATTATTAAAACTAATTTATTTTGTAATAAAACAGCTATTTTAATATTAAAACAAATTTATTTAGTAAAAACAGCAATCCCAATATTAAAACAAATTTATTTAAAAATAAAACAGTAATTTTTAAATAAAACTTAAAAACAAAATTAACATTAAAAATTAATAAAACTTAAAAAAAATTTTAATAACATTTTAAATATAATTGTATAATATAATAACAAGACAGCAGTTTTAAAATGAAAAGTTATACAATTATTAATATAAAATTAAAAAAAAAATATGGTTAATTATATTAATTTAATTTTATGTGTATTAAATATTTATTTCTCTTTATTTATTAATTTATTTTATTTTCATTCTGATGTAGGTATTTTGGATTTGAGTCATAAGTAAAATAAATAAAAAACTCTCAGAATACCAGCATAAAGGCAATGTGCTACTAGATGTACTAGAAATATTTGTATTAAATAAAAAAAATAATAAATATAATATTTTCAGTATTAGTCAGTTATATATTCAAAAAATAAAACTAAATATTCATAGCTCCATAAATAAGCATTTAATACTTGTATATATTTGAAAACGTCATACTTTTCTTGTTGATGTGTAAATTACGAACTTAAAACACCCACTTTTTAAAAAAATAAAAAAATTTAATAAATAAATAAAATTCTATACAATAAAGAATGGAAATTTTTTGGTATTTGTTTAAACAAAATAAAAATATATTTCCTTCACTTTCTATCTCACTCAAAGGAAAAAGATCTATTTACTGGCAAATTTTTTTTTTTGAATCTGAATTATATTTAATGCTATATATAAATCTATATATTTTTATTGTATGATTTTTGTCTTATAAACATTTTTTCTCATTTTTTTATCTTTTCACTGAACTTATGACAAAAAAAATGTGATTCTTTTCATTTTTTGTATTTTAATAGCATTTTTCACACCCATAAATAAGCCCATGTGATCGAAAATGTTAATTTTTTTTATAAATATTAAATTGCGTAGCCGGGAACACAAAAAAAAATGCTTTGCGTATTTGTTTATATAACTTAATATTTATTTAAAAATATATTGTACAGAAACAAATATTTGGTAAATATGCATTTGTGTGCTTTTCCTCATTTGCTTAACATCTACAAAAATGTGCCTTGAACCTGTTGTGCTCTTCTATATAAAAAATGAAAAGTAAATTTTATTGTTTATATTTTTTATCATAATTTTTTTATTATTTATTTTTTATGCTCAATCATTTGAAAATGTATTTATTTTCACGTCACTGATTTGTAGGTCAATATTGACTATAAATAAAATTTTTTTTCATTTAAATATATTCTTCTAATAGTTCACCGAACCACACACTAACTTCATGTATGACATATGTTTAGTTTTTCGCAATTCAAGGCAACTTTCACTATTCGCTAATATAAATAAATATATATATATATATATATATTGTAACTTAGTAAGCATATGCTAATATTATTGTATTAAGATAAGATAAACTATTGTTTACTGTAAGCACAATGTGACATGTGTGGTGTTCTTAATTAAGTCCTAATAGCGCCTGTAATTAAGCATACCAGATAAATCTAGTTAAAGACCTTCAGTTTTGGAAACCAACAGTTGTTGCAAGAAATGTTTTGTTGTTTTCTGTAAATTAAATTTCATTATTTTTTTAATTTTTTTAGTTTAGTTTTTTTAGTTTTTTTTGTTTATTTTATTTATTAACTAATGCACTGTAATTGAATTTATTTCTTATGTTTATAATTATTACTTTATTTTATTATAAATTTTTACTGATCTTAATTTACATTTGTTATTCTTTATTTTATATACTTTTTTATTACATATTCATTTAATTTTATATATTTTTAGTTTTTCACATTTTATTTTTTTTTTATTTTATATATATAAATTTATTTTATTTTAGTACTATTCTTTCTTTATTTCATATTTTTAATTTTTTTTTATATTGTTTATTTAAATGTTTATAAATGCCTATAATTTATTTAATATTCTTTAATACTAATTGTTTATAATATTATTTTGTTTATAATTAATTTATATTGTTTAAATTTTATTTTATATTGTTTATATATTATTTCATATTATTTATATTTTGTTTTTTATTTATATTTTATTTTATATTATATATATTTTATGTTATATTATTAAATTCATTTATTAAAATATGTATTGGTTCCTTTTTTTAGTTTTTTAGTATTTTTTTTTCAAATATCTCTTATATTTATTTTTCATTATATCATTATAATGTAATTCATTAAAAATTGTTTTAGTTTTTATATAGATAGTATTTTATTTTTAATTTAATTTATTTTTATATAAAAAAAGTAGACTAAAAACTCTTCCAATACTTTTTCTTCTGTTATTTTTTTGTTATATTAATTTATTTTATATTTCCTCCGATTTAAATTCGCTTTATTACTAATTTTACTTAATTTTGTTAATATATTTTTTATTTTTAACGAAATAATTAATAATCAAATTTACTAATTATTATTGTGCAAATAAAAAGAAGTTGGCCATTTTTAATTTCTTCTTATTATTAATTAATTAATAATTAATAATTATTTATTATCTAATCTAATTTAATTATCTAATCTAATAACTAGAATTTTTATTATATTCTATTTATATTTTAACCAATGACTTAAATTTATTGATATGTAAATATCAATCCTGTTTTAGCAATTTATCGTTCTAGTTTTTGTAGTTGTTGTTGAGTTTACCAGTTGATTGGATGATGTCAAACCAATCAAACTAGCCTTACAGCAAACGGACCGAAATTAAATACTAGATATGAATAGAAAATAATAATCTTTTATTTAATTATATTTAATTTCCTGTAAATTTTGTTTATTAAAAATTATTATTTCTTTTATATATTTTTATATATAAATATATTAAATTTTAAACATTTCTATTTATGATATTAGTTTTTAGTTTAAATTAATTAATGATTTTAAAACAATTTTTTTAAATTTTTAGTTCTTTATTTAAAAAACACTGCAAATATTTTATTAAACTTTTTAGACAAACTTTTTATAATTAATAATAATATTAAATTTTGTTTTATTTTTTAATATAATAAAAATTTAATCTGGAAAGTTTTAGAAATGCGTTATTAAATAAACGAAATCCTATATTTGTGTATTTATTTTTTGATAATAATATGAACTTATCAACTTCAATGTCAGACGTTTTAATTAAACCATAAAATGAACAGCAGACATACCAGTATTTGTTATTGTTACTACATTTTATGTATATAATAATTATTGTATTTTTTTTTTAAATAAGATTACATTTAAGTTGTTGTCAATGTATTTATTATATAGTCATTTTTGATTTATTTTTTATTATATTCTCGGTTTATTCAATTGATAACAATTCATTTAAGTTTAAAATAAAAAAAATGTATATAATTTCTTATTTCTTTTTCATTAACTAAAAATAGTTTTCAAAAAAATTGTATAATATTTTTTTCTTTTTTGTTGCTTAAAAACTAATTTCCGCAAAGCAAAAGTCGGCGAAATGATGATGAAATGAAGACACATGCCACAAAATTACGTGGCAGAATGCAAGACATTCTATCGATAGAATGTAAACTCTGGTCTGGTCCCCACACATCGCTTACCTTTTATGCGTTTTATTTTGATTTTATCTTTTGGTTGTTGTTTTTTTTTCTTTTTCTTGTATTTAGTTGTATATTAAAATTATTATTTAACATTGACATCACACAATTGCATGTTTCACTGCATTTTTATTAAATAGTTGAGCTGTCTATCTATCGAGCATTATTTTATTTATTTTCTTCTATCTTCTTCCTGATTTCTTCAGCTTTAGTGAATTTTAATGCAATTAGTTTTTCATTTTTTCATTAAGCTTGCCAAAAAAAAAAGCAACAGAAAATAGTAAAAATAAAAATATAAAGGGTGTCTAAAATGTTTTTTTTTTATTATAATTTTTTTTTGAATTTATTAATTTTTAAACCCTTTAATTAGTTTTTATTTAGGAATCAAGATTTTCCACTTATTCCATTTTGTCCTATATACTATCGAGAAAAATGTCCACATATAACACCCTGTTTATTTTGAAATTAATGACAAAAAAAATTGTAAAACACTTGATTTGCATTTTCCTTAACTTTTCACTATTGTGCTACACAGATACACAAACACACACAAACACAAAATCAAAACAAATACAAACGTTAGTGATTTTCCACAGTTCATGTTAGTTTTTTAGCTTCTCACTTAGTAGCAAAGAATTTCCTTGTTAAAATGTAGTCGCGTAACACACAAAATAAAAAGTTTTATTTAAATGATTATTTGAATTTTTTACTTATTAAAATAAATTAAATATTTATTTCAGTAATTATTAAAAATAATAAATAATTACGCTAATAATGAACATTTAAACGTCTAAATCAAGCCAGAAATCAAGACACTCAAAAATGTTATCCATACTTGACGATGAAGACGAACCAGTACGTATTTTATCATTTTGTCCTCAATCATTTTTGCTTGTAGTTTGTAGATTGTTCAATTTAATTATTTTCAATTTAAATTAAAAGCAAAAAAAAAAAAAAATTAACTAATAAATAAAATATTTTATATATATTTACAGTACCTCGATATTGGAGAGGATCTAAATGTACCTGATGACTTTACGCAAAGTGAAATGCAAAGTGGTATGTGGTGGCGGCATTTGGCAGCGGGTGGCATTGCTGGAGCAGTGTCTCGTACATGTACTGCACCCTTAGATAGAATAAAAGTGTTTTTGCAGGTATGTTAAATGTTATAAATTTTTAAATTAGATAATTTATTAATACTCATTTTCCATTTTCCATTTCCCATTTGCAGGTTCAAACACATAAAATAGGAATCTCAGATAGTTTTAGATATATGATACATGAAGGTGGCCTAAGAAGTATGTGGCGTGGCAATGGTATTAATGTACTGAAAATTGCGCCCGAATCGGCTATTAAATTTGCCGCATATGAAAAAATCAAACGACTGATACGTGGCGATGAGAAACGTCAGATGACCATTGGTGAAAGATTTTTAGCTGGCGCTGCTGCAGGCGGCATTTCACAGACCATTATCTATCCCATGGAAGTATTAAAGACGCGTTTAGCATTACGCAAAACAGGACAGTATACGGGCATATTTGATGCTGCCAAAAAAATATATGTACATGAAGGTGTACGTAGCTTTTATCGTGGTTACATTCCGAATATGTTGGGCATTATACCATATGCCGGTATTGATTTAGCCGTTTATGAAACGCTCAAGAAGAAATACTTAAGCAGTCACAATACGGAACAACCAAGTTTCTTAGTGTTATTAGCATGTGGCAGTGCGTCAAGTACATTAGGACAGGTGTGCTCTTATCCATTAGCATTAGTGAGAACACGACTGCAAGCTCAAGGTGAGTTAAAAATAATATATTATTATTATTATTATTATTATTTATTAAATAAATATAAGCTATATGGATAAATTATTAAACTGAGATTTGCTTTTAATACAATTTTCATTTTCTAATGGATAATCTCGGGTAAAATTTATAACATTAGTTATTAATTTATTAAATTAACAACTGTTTTAAATTATTTGACAATTGATGTGTTATTTTTAATTTGATAATTTATTTTATATTTTAATAATTTAAATTTAATAATTTAATTTCAATAATTTAAATTTAATAATTTAATTTCAATAATTTAAATTCAATAATTTAAACTTAATAATTTATATAATTTAATTTAATTTTAAAATAAATAAATAAAAATATTATAAATTAATAAAAATATTAATTATTAAATATTAATTTAATTAATTTTACTATAACATTAGAAAAAGATTAAAAATAGATAAAATATTAAAATCATAATTTTATCTAAAAAAACCTTTTCGATTTTGTTTAATATATAAGTTATAAATTTATCAGTACTAATTAACTTAATTGTTTTAACTATTTTAACTATTTAAATGATTTTTCTACTAATGAACTTTTTTAAGAAATGTTCCAATTACTATATAAAAATTTACCTACTACAATTTCATATAATAAATTTTTTAAACTAATTTTATTTATTAATTTTATATATTAAGTTTATATATTAATTTTATATATTAATTTTATGTATTAATGATATGTAATAATTTTATAAAATAATTTTATATAATAACTTATAAATTTTTTTTTATCCTTTCAGTCGTTTCCAGAAACTTACAACCCGTCATTGGTATTCCACTCAGACAAGCCGGTATGGTTAGTGATGATAACATGTTCGGTGTGTTCCGTAAAATCTTAAGAACAGAAGGAATCTGTGGTTTATATCGTGGTATCACACCTAATTTTATCAAAGTGCTGCCAGCTGTGTCCATTAGTTATGTTGTGTACGAGTACTCAAGTCGAGCGCTAGGTGTAAATATGACGTGATGTGTTTGTTTCTTAAGAACTGGGATATGCGAATATGTTGTCGCTCTCTGTGCACTGTACCTCCATGCACTCACATTATCTAAGCTTGTTTTCCATTTTTATGGGCGCATAAATGAGAATAATTCGCCGAGGCGTTTTAAATATATTTGAGAAAATGAAATTATTAAATATAACAACATACTGCAAAATTCTCGTTAAGTACATACAACAAAAGCAAACGAAATTTTGTTTCAAATAAATCATCAAAAAAGAGAAAATATTTATTTTTTACATTGTAAAATTTTTATATGTAGTAAAAAAAATTTATTTTTCTATATTAATTTAAAATAGTGTTAACTTATAAATTAGCTTAACTTATTATTTGTATTTATTTATTAAAAATGTGAAAAGCAGAATTTTTAAAAAATTTTGTTTTCAAAGCTAATTTTTTTATTAGCCGATAATATGGTATATATAATTTCTTGTTGAGAAAATTAAGAAATGTACAACTTTAACAATTGTATAAATTGTATGTTTTGTTAAATTTCAACTAAAAGACAAACAAACTCAATACAGACTAAGTTCACTTTAAGTTGTTGTTTAAGCACTTAGCACATAGCATAAGCATATACATAAGATGATACTGTACTCTAACGTATATTTGTATTTATATGATATTTGTGATGTTGATAAAGTGAAAGTTAGTTAAATTTTATGTTAAACGGTTCTTCTAAATACAGTGAGTAAAAACTTTTTAAATCGAGGCTGAATACAATGTAGTGCTAATTTTAGTTTAGCTCTTTAATTTTATTAAATCTATACAATTAATGAGAATAAAAAAAACAAAAATCCAACGAGAATTATTATTGCATATTTTCAATGTATTGTATTGTAATGTTATATAATAATTAAACATGTACAACTTAAATTTAAAACAATTACGTTAATTAATTAGAAAAATTTTTAATTAAAAATTAGCCTCTTTTGAACGAAATCCAATCCAAGTCTTGTATATAAAAAACCAAAAAAAAATATAATATATATATTTTGTTAAATTTTTATATACGTACATTGAAAACTTAATTTTGAACTTTTAACAATTTTAACTCTACTTTTTTAAATTAGCAATTTTTATATAAATAAATACTACAAAAAATAGCTTCCTTAAATATTAAACAAATATTTTTTCTTAAAATGCATTTTTTACTTCAACAAAACTTGTTATTTATAAAAAGAACGAATTAAACTTTATATAAAATGTTAAATAAAATTCTAAAGCAATGCATTAATTGTAAAATCATATATCGCACACAAATTGAAATGCCTTTTGGAAACTTATCGTAAAATTTATGTAAATTTAAAATTCATTAAAAATCCCATATTTTAGCTTCTAAGTATTAAAGTTGAGTTGCTTAATTGCAAGCACACAACAAAATGAAGAATGAAATAGTAAAAAATAAAAAAACCTTAAATTCTAAAACAAACAGTTTTGTTATATTTTTTCTTTTATTTATTAAACATATAAATTTATTATATCACTTTTATTTTTAAAAAATTATGTTCCTCATTGAATTACAAAAAAAAATTATCTGAAAGGTTGTGGATAAGCCCAAAAACCGGCCATCTTTTATTACTTATAGATTACTTGAATTAATCGTTTGAAAAAAAAAATTTTACATTTTAAAAGCAAATCATTGCTTTAGTGCCAACTGGTTTAGATTAGCAATATAAATAGTGACTAACCATACAATATCTAACCACATCAAAATTTAGTTTTAACTAAAAAATGGTCTTAATCATTTAAACTGTTCTTCAGGCGAATAAATTAATATATTGTAGTAGACATTGGCATACACTTATATATAATATGTGGTCTTCTTAGTAAAACTATGTCTGCAATAATGTGCAATATAACTGCAATAATGTTGCAGAAAAATTCAACTTGAACAAAATGAAGTTCAAACGTATGAACTTCTATAACTGAAATGTTTTTATTTTTAACAATTTTGTCGCTGACACTGTGCAGATAATGTTTCATAAAAAGATATATTAAAAAAATATTCTCTTTCAATTTAATACATCTTAAATTTGCTTTATGCATTATCTTTGCTTTTTTAAGATCACTATGTGAGACCATTTCATTTTATTTTTTTTTGGTGACTTTTTAGTAACTCTCGTTAAGTTTTTTTTTTTGTGAAGGCTTTCCTGTTAAGTTTTTCATTTTATTTAAATTTTATAAGCAATTTAAAAGTGTATAGAACCAATTTAAAGTGGCAATTATTGCAGTTAATAAAAAGTGGACAATATAACTTGAGTTATTTCTACTATTCGTACTTCATACTATACATATTTTCAGACTTGGAGACGTACTTTAAGTCTCCAAGTGATCTCCTATCTCTCTTTCTCTTTGACTACTTCTGAATTATATTTGTTAAGTTATACTTTTCAGAACTAAGATTGTATACACCTTTTCCTTTTTCTCAATAATATAATTTAAATATTTATCATATATCATTTTGACCTATTATTTATATTATAATATTATTTATAATTCATAAATATTATTTATCATTTTTTATTTTAAAAATTAAATAAAAACAAAATTAAAAATTTAAATTTGTTAAATGCAATCAGTATAACAAAAATTTGAAAAATAACATATTTCACAACTTATTTTGATAATATGTTTTAGGATTAGGATTTTGTCTAACAAAACAACTGATTATAATAGATAACTTTATAATATAAAAAACCAAATATAAAAACAATGCGTATATAACTTTTTATTTGTTCAATAATTATTAATTTAATAAAAAGCATTCAGCTGTTCAGATATTATTTAATAACAAACATTCAGGTGTTGAGATATTACTTAACTCTCCAAGACTCTATAACAATTTATTCAATGTTATACATTTTTTAAATACTTAATTCTTAGTAACCATTTTAAAACTACTCATATTATTTAATATATTTTGGTATTCATAATTAGTAAAATATATAAATTACTTTCATAATTTCTCAATATAATTTTAATTATTAAATTATATATTCAAAAACATTTTTGAGTAATAATAAATTACTATTATTATTTGATATATTATGGTATTTATAATTAGTAAATAAAAAAAAAATAATATAAATTAATAATTTCATTAATATATATTTGTATATTCAATAAGTTTTTCTTGAACACAAATCAACTCAGTAACGTAAAATTCATAAAAAATATTTTTAAAGAACTAATATAATTACACAATATATAATTACTATTAATTAATATTTAGAAGAATTATTTATATATAATATACAATTATATAAGTTATAAAAATAGTTAGAATGTTATAAAAAAATTAAAACTTATTCAGAATTAAAAACTCAAATAGTTTATAAAATTATTTAAGAAACTATTAAATATTATAAAAATTATATATGATAAATAAATGACAGCTTAGTGTTTTTTTTATATATTTTTAATATCTTATATAGTGGTCTGTAAAATCTTAACTTTATGTGAAATCAAAATTGTTAAACAAATTAACATATGGAATATAATATAGTTTATTTTTAAAAAATATATATTTTTAAATTTACTATTTTATATAATATTAACAAATTTTAATAATTAATTATAACAAATATATAGTATATTCAAAATACATTATATATATGTTTATGCTTATAAATTCAAATTTATTTGAATAAATAAATAATTACAAATATTAAAAATAATCAAAAATTGTTTTTACATTTATATATATATATATATATTTAATAATTATATAGTTAGAAATAAATATGCTTTAATGATTAGACCCAAACTGCTTTATGGGTGTGGCACTTATGAAAATCCCCTTTTATTTACCATTAAGAGACCAATTCACCATTAAGAAAATTTAAACTTACTAAAGTATTATTTTAAGCCGTACATTAAAAACGCAATTATGTGTCAGAAATGAAGACATACAGAAAGAACTAAAAATCGAAAGTTCTATCTTGATCAAAAACAGAGCATTGAAATTATTTAATTATATGAAAACTTAATGCAGCTACTATATAGAGGTTCTGTAGAGAATTTGGTTTACTTTATATGACATTTAGACCCTAGGTGCAAAGCTGTTAGTAAGCCAATCAAATGAGAGTTAGTACCTGACATATATTCGGTAATATCGCTGAATGAAAGGTGAAATATATGAAGAATAATGTATTTCTTATATTAAATTGAATATTAGTAAATAGTAAATAAAGTAAAATTAAAATTTTAGCGTTACAATTTCTTTTTATCAATTATTTTGATTTTATTTAATAAAATTTTGCAGCAAATAAGTAATAATTTTTATTTTTGTAAAGTACACTTATTATTGAAGTTTTTTTTTTTCTTTGAAATTGTATCATATTTGATTTGAATTTACATAATAATTTTCCATTCTTTAATTTTTTTGATAATACTTTACAATATTACTGCAACAATACGAGACCGTAATGTATGTGATAATTTAAAAAATGATCGTTAATTCACTTATGTTTTAACTCCTCGATTGCTTGAAAACCTCCTCGATTCACAATAACCATTCACAATAGTCATGTAAACAAATAAAACTATTCACCATAGTGCTTACATACTCTTTTAATAGAACATAAAATATTTATTTTTAGCAACATAAATTAGAATATAAGAAAATTTTAATAAACGAAAATAGACACAAGTGGTTAAATAAACGTGTGCAATAATTATTTTTTAATATAATTTTGTGTAAATATTTAAAAAAACAATTAATTTCATTCAATATAGAAATAGCTTTTACTTGAAATAAAATAAACGTTAAAAACAGTTTGCAACATGAGCCTGAATGACGAAACAGTAGCATATCAACAAATTTGCAGTGCACGCACCGTGCAATCTGATAGACAAGGCTTTTTCAATGAATTTTACATGGAAGTCAAAGATTCCTGCGGTGAAAAATGGCTTCAAAACTATTTTGGCAAACTGAAATCGAATGAAGCACGCATTTTATCAATATTCAGTGATCGTGAAATTTGTGATCCAGTACTGGGTGTCTTGGAAAATGTGCAACCAGTTTACAAGCAAAAAGATGGACTCTTCTCAGCGCAACGTCGTGCACAAGCCGATAAA